AAAATGTCAGGTCTAGCCAAAATTATTAGAGTCTCCAAATGGTTAACCATTGACGATACCTAGACCAAAACTACTTGCAAAATAACATCAAGATTCTAAGTATTACTATCATTCAAGAGCAAACCATAGGATGACTATATATTATATCAGTGTAAAGAGGTTTTTTGTTATAGTGAGGAGGCATTGCAAACAAGTAGAACAGAATGTGTAGAGAGATGGCAAATAAAAAGATTAGAGTAGATTCTGAAGTTGAGTGTAGCGATAGATAATAGTAAGTGGTGAAGCAAAGCTAAGTAAGAAAGAGAATAAAGTTAAAAAAAATTATTTAAAAAGAGAGAATTGCAAAGAAAATGAGAAAATTTGCCAAAAGTCCCTCAATGAATGATGGAAGCTCTTATTTATAAGCTTCAAAATATGAATTACATATCTTAAGTATTGAATAATAATAATGGTGAAATTAACAGCTATAAAATATGTCAATGTATCATATATGAATAATGATGAATGATGGGAGAAATTGACCGTTACAAAAAGTGTTGATAGGAGTTTAATTAGCTTTTGGTGATAGGCATAGTGAACATAAAAGTTCACTATCTATTTTGAAAGAAAGGAAAAAGCATTCATATTTCAAGGGAAAGGTTAAAAGGAAACTTCTTAACTGTCTCCATAAATCCACCAAGCTAAGCTCTCCAAAACATCCCAATAGTGGAATTAACCCAAGAATACTACCATATTTCAGGGTTATTTTTGCTTCTTCTTTTGTTGAAATAACATTTAATGAAGTGTCTTTTGTAAAACAACTCTTAATGAAGCAACTTTTGGTGAAAGACTTTTTGGTAAAAGTGTAACTATTGTTCATTAAGCAAGTTGTTTCGTGAATGTGTTATTTCGTGAAATAGTTGTTTCTTAAATGGTTATTCCGTAAACAACTGTTTTGTAAAAGAGTTATTTTATAAATATAAAATAACCTTCACTGAAACAACCTTATCACCTATTTTAACTTATCTTCAATTTTAACAACTTTAAAAAAATTTAAATGAATAAAATATAAATAACCAAAATCAAGTATCTACATTCAACAAATCCTAACATGATTCAGAGCAATATGGGACAACATACTCTCTTTGATATTTACTTCTATAATGGCAACCTATAAATCGTCCATATAGATCTAAAAAAGTAAAACATGTTCAATCACTCTAAAAATTCCTTGATAAAACAAAAATTAGAAAAGATTCCCAACTAAAATAAATGTACTTTGGAAGAGAAAAAGAATAGAAAATATGGGAAAAAGAATACAAGAATTCCAATTTTCATGATGATAGGTTGATAAATAATTTTCTTCCAGCATAGTTGCAAACCCAAGCCTGAAGCCTTTGCTGTTCCTTCTTCTTCTAGTCCTCTCAAATTTCCTTCCCTTTGACTGCACATAAGGCATGGTGTGGTTGTGTGGCACACCAAGAGCTGGTTCGAAGTGCTTCACAGCCTTATGAGCATTTTTTGGACCTCGGATGAGAACCTACAGATTTTTAGCATATATTTTGAGTCAATTTTCATCATTCCATAATGTTGATTAGTTTTCAAAATCAATTCCTTTTGTCAAACCCCTAATTAGAATGTCAACCAAAAAAGAAATAGGGGAATGATATGTAAGATAGAAATAATTTAATGGGTATAGTCTTAAAAAAAAGCTTCTGAAATGTTTCTTTTACCCTTCTAATCACTATGGCCTTAATGATAAAGTCTAGAGCACTTAAAAATCGTGAAAAAGAGAAAAGGAATTAGGTTGACTCCAACATTCTTTAGTTTTAGCAAGTATATTTAAACGGTACAGAAGCAAAAGGGTATGTCTTTACAAATAAATTATCAAAGTTTGAAAATATGAAGATCATAATAAATGACAAAAGAGACAAACAAATAACAGTTTTTGTAGCATATGCATATTAGTTCATGTCACCCTAACACTTATGCTATGTTTGGACAAATATTAATAAAGAAAAGGAAAGGAAAGGAAAAGAATGGAAAAGAAAGTTTTTTAAAGGAAATGAAATGATACATGTAACTCTTGTGTGGATAATTAAAATTAATAAAGGAAAGGAAAGGAAAGGAATTCTAACAACCATTGTTTGGATAAAGTGTGAAAAAGAATGGAAATGATTCATTATAATTATTTTTTTTAATTATAACCTTTCATTGCCTGTGATTTTAGAGCACTTTTGAACTATGATATGTTTACTATCTTGTCTGACTTTACAATTGCTTTTATATCAATGATTTTTAATCAAGTGAAATAGGAAGATATTTTACAAACATGCATTTTTGAGCTAGTCTATCATCTCATAAACTTAAAAAATATATCTATTTATATTCAACCATTCATCCAAATCAAATCATCAAAAAATTATAAAAAAATTTTATATTGAAAGAGATATGTGAAAGTTACTTGAAAAAAGAGATAGTTTTGAAAAATTATAAGATAATTGTGATCTGTTTAAATTTTTTTATTAGGTTTTTAGTATTAATAAAAAATGGACATAATAGATTTTTAATAAAAAAATATTTTTCAGCTTTCTTTTCTTTCAAATTGGGGCATTAAAAAAATTACGTTTACAAGAGAAACCAAGTTTCATCTCTTTCCTTTTCTTTAAATTAAAAATTTATTCCAACAAGGGAAGGGGGTTTTATTTCCTTTATATTCATTTACTTTACTTTTTTTTTCCTTCCACTCCTGTCAATTCAATTACACTGTTAAATCAATATCTATTTTTAGGATGGTACCTTTATTAAAACATAAAATAGGAAAATGATATCGAGGGATGATCCTTTCTACATGAGTAATAAGAAAACAAGACTTACTTAAAGATTTACAATATCCCAGCAGCTGGTGATATAATTTCCACTGTTATTACTAACCCTAAAGTGGAATATGAATCATAACTTAACTACCCAATTGACAGCTGCGTGAAGAGAGGAAGGCTGTTTATCTTTTGTCTGGAAATCAAATGCCAAATCTCAAAACATTTGTCAATTTAAGCCATAAGAACTTCGCCACTTCATACAGTTTAAAGTAGCAGGTTTTAGCATCTATTTCTTGCCAAAAAACAAAGACATTCCAAAGCTAGCAAAAACAAGCCAATCATTCCAACCCAAAACCTGATAATTTCAGTCTCAAGATGACTAGTAAACAGTTGCGCAATGCAGCAAATGAAAGATACCGTGTTCTGTCCAAGAGGTGCTGGAAGAGAAAGCTGGTCAAACATTAAACATTCCTCACCAGCCTTTTCGATCCTTGCCCTCACAGTCTCTATGAGCCTTAGTACAGTAACCTCCAGTGCCAGAACTTCATACACACGAATGTCATCGGTGACAGATCCAGCTACCACAGCAATCTAATACTCCTGGTCGATCAAACCAATAACAAGATCAATCATTCATCAAACGAAAATTTCAATCAAAACTACCAATCAATAAACAAATTGGAAATTGCTAAAAAAAATTTTCTCTTCATAAATTAAACCAACTGGAAAGAGATAAAAAAAGGCTTGTTGACTTTGCTCATAGAAAGTCGCTTCAAAATCATCGCCTTGAAATTGCATTACATGAATATAAAATATTTTAATATTTTACATGACATGCCAATGATCACTGTCTTAAACATTCAATATTTTTAATGCTCACTCATTTTTGGTTTTTTTTTTTTTTTTGATAAATGATACTAAGTTAATAATAGCTTTAATTATGATTGTGTAATCCAAATTCCAAATGATTCCGAAGTTACACTATCACAAGAAAAATGCCACGTAATTGAAATTTTGATCGTCCTTTTTTTGTTTTGTACTTTTTCTTCTTCTGGTAAAAATCGAACAGAGAAAACATAATAAATTAATGCTTTATTTGTTTTGTAGAAATTGAGTTTTAAAAAATATTTTTATTATTTGATTATTTTTGGAAAATTTTATTTTTTTCAAATAATATTAATATAACTATTAAATATTTAAATTTATTATTATTAAATATTTAAATTATTTATTATTAAAATTATTAGTATTCAAGAACAATAATATTTTAATAATACTTAATATTAAAATATTATATTAATATAAAAATACTTAAAATAAATTATTTCTTATTCTTTGTATTAATATTTTAAAATATTTAAAATAGAATTACTATTATTAAAATATTATTTTTATTAATATTAAATAGTAATATTTATTATTAAAATATTTATATTTTATATTGAAAGTATCTATTATTAAATCATAACTAGAATTTTTTTATTTATATTTACTATTAAAATAGTAATATAAATATCATTATAAATAAACTGTAAAATAATATATTTTAAACAAAAAATAATAAGAAATTATTAAAAATATTAAAATTAAGAAAATAATATTAGTATATTATTTAACATTAATTATTAAAATAATAAAAAATTATTATATATGTTATTATTTATTATTAAAACAATAATATAATACTATTTATTTTGAAATATTAAAAAATTTATGTTTAATAATATATAAAATAAAAAATTAAAATTAAAATATCAAAAGAATTTTAATGCAAATATTTTAATATATTAATTATAATTAAATAAACTATTTTTATTAATATAATATTTTAAATTTAATTAAATCCAATTTGAATTTAAAATATTATATTCAAAGCTTTATTTGAATATAATTATAAAAATATTTAAAATTAAAATATTAATATATTTTTAATACTAATATTTTAAGTTTTTAGTAAAATTAAATAAAAATACTATTTAATAATATAATAATATTTTAAATTAAATGAAATTAAATTTAAGTTTAAAATATTATGTACAAAGTCTAATTTAAATAAAATTATATTTAAGCACATTAAACAATAATTATATTCATAAATAATTTTTTTTTCAAAAATGTACAATTTCCAAAAAACAAATCATTTTTATTAACCAATAAATTATTTTTCAACCAATTAAAAATTTTCAAACAAAGACATAAAAATGTAAAAATCATTTTTTAAAAGCCCGAAACAAAATCAAAGTCTATGAAAATGAAAACTAGAAACCCATTACCGCTTCGTTGATTACTCGCAAAAGCCAGCAGCGGGATTTGATAGATTCACAGCCAAGGGGGTTGGAACAATGAAGGGAAAAACTTTGCTGGAAGTAGGAGCTGATGGCGTGGCTATCATCATCATCAACAACCCACCTCTTAATTTGCTCTCTGCTGATGGTTGGTTGTATCTCTTACCTTTTTCTATACTTTCCACTCATTAATTCAAGAAAGTAACCGGCGCCAGAGCCAGATTGTGATTTCTGAACTTACCTTTAGTATGCTGTCGTTGTTTTCTTAATGGACCAAAATCTTCTGATTTGGTGCAAATTCTTCTGTTGATTTTCAGTGTTATTTAGCCTGAAGGAGAACAGTGAGCAGGCTCTGCTGAGAGATGATGTGAAAGCAATAGTTATTACTGGTAAAGTTAAAGTGTTACTATCTTGTATTATTGCCAATGGAGATGATATTTTTCATTTGTATGTAACATCTTGAATTATTAAAACAGGTTCAAAAGGGAAATTCTCAGGAGGCTTTGATGTCACAGCTTTTGGGAAAAAGGGTTGGTTAGATATATCTTTCCTCTTTCCTTTTCTCCCTGCCTTTTAATCTGTATGATGAGGCAAGGGCTCTAGATTGATTCTTATATTATATATTATCCTCAATTTATTCCTGCATATCACAGCAAAGAATGGAAAGCTTGGCTTTTGGTCAATTGAATTTATCACCGACATTTTAGAAGGTATATTTATATATTGTTTGTATTTTATAATCTGCTATCAGGTTTTTCTTCTGGTCTCTTATAAGATCTTTTTTGGTGGGCTTTCTTAGCTGCCAGAAAACCCTTAGTAGCTGCTATTGATGGCCCTGCTTTAGGTGGGGGATTGGAGATTGCGCTGGTATGTTATGAATTCAATTGATACCAACCTTACCGTGTTCTATTCATGGAAGTTCTGATAATTTACTTGATATCTTCTTAGGCCTGCCATGCACGCATATCAACCTCTTCTGCACAACTGGGTCTGCCTGAGCTTCGATATGGAATTCTTCCAGGCTTTGGTGGTAAGGCTGTGCTTATGTGGATGTAGATGATTATCATTCAATTTGCTAGATCCTTTATAGGAGTTTTTTTTTTTTTTATTTTGGCAGTATAATTTTCCCATTAAGAAAACCAAAAACAAAAAACCAATCCCCCAACTTCTTTCCTTTTCAGTCTTAAATTGATGTCTTATTTCAGGGACACAGCGCCTGCCACGTCTAGTAGGCCTTCATAAGGCTCTTGAAATGATCTTGGTATATATCACTCCTTTTGCTGCTCTATTGGAAGAAATGATACTGATGCTCTTAATATGAAAGCATGCTTTTTCCTCCCTTTCTAATTGAGTATAGTTCCTTCTTTTGTTTTATTTTGAGCTACAAGACTTCATAAGCACTCTTTTTTTATTCTCCCTCCAGATGTCAAAATTCGTGAATGGAGACAATGCTCACAGTTTGGGCCTTGTGGATGCCCTTTCTTCAGCAGATGAGTTGACTAAAATTGCTCGTCTCTGGGCGATAGACATTCTCGAGTTTAGAAGACCATGGGCTGTTAGTCTTCACCGAACGGATCGATTAGAGCCCTTGGCAGAGGCTAGGATGATCCTTAAGCATGCCAGAATTACGGCCAAAAAACAAGCTCCACATCTCAAACACCCATTGGTTTGCATTGATGTCATTGAAGAAGGATTAATACATGGTCCACGTGCTGCACTTTGGAAGGTATATTTTTGGTCATTTTTTGTTTCTATTGCAGATAACCTTATTGGTATACAAGATGACTTGTTGGTTGTTGTAGGAGTCGGAGGCATTACTTGAACTTCGACAATCTGATACTTGTAGGAGTTTAGTCTACTTCTTCTTTGCCCAGCATAGAACGTCCAAGGTATACAGTTATAATAGCTTTAATTCTTCTTGATTAAATCTGAAAAGGTTCTTGCTTCTCACAATTATAAAATTTTTATATCTGTACTTTGATGCTGAATTTTTTTGACATGGTTGGTATCAAAACTTTGGTCGACTTCTTAAATAGGGCCCTTTAGTTATAAATCAAAATAGTTGATATAAATGTATATTTCTCTTCAAAGTCAAACAAAATCAATTAAGCTACAATTGTAGCTAATTTCAATGCTTAATATCAGTCTTGATTAGTTTGAAACTGGTTAGATTGCAAGTCAAAACTCAAAAAGTAAGTGATATAAACATAATTTTCTCTGAGAAGTCAAACAAAATTATTTAAGCCCTAAAATTGTAGCTATATTTCAGTGCTCAAGGTTGTATCTTTATGAGTTTACATAACTTTCTAGTTTCTTGATAATTTGAAAATTTATCTTGCTTAGGCATCTTTCTCTCTCATGGAATGCTTATCCTTGATCTAAATTTGTTAACAGGTGCCCGGTATAACTGATATGGGTTTAATCCCGAGGAAAGTGAATACAGTTGCTGTTGTTGGTGGAGGATTAATGGGTTCTTCAATAGTAACTGCACTCGTGCTTAGTAATTACACTGTCATTTTGAAAGAAGTGAATGAAAAGGCCCTACTGGCTGGAATTGAAAGAGTCAAAGGTAACAACAAACATTTGTTTAGATGAATTATTCCCTCACCCCCTCCCCCTTCCCCCATCTGCCCCTTTTTTCTTAACCAAGAGCACTTCTGTTCAAACTTTTTCTGCTATTGTAACTTGCCTCTCTCTTTTTATGCTTTCCCTCCAGTAAATTTGCAAGATCATGTCAAGAACGGAAAATTGGCAGAAGCAAAGCTTAACAAAAACCTCTCTCTTTTTAAAGGTGTTCTCCATTATGAAGATTTTAGGGAAGTGGATATGGTTATTGAGGTTTTTTCCATGAACCAATGCTACTGCGTTTGAATCTCTCTCTCTCTCTCTTCCCTCACCCTCCTTTCCTTTCCCCCTGAACATCCACCTATCTCAATGCATTCTAAGCTTCTAGCTGTTGCTAGTGGCTCTTTAGTATAGTTTGTTATAAGTGAAACACTAAGCATAAAGAACTGCAGCGATGACATAGTGTTTGTCCAGATTGAGAAATGAGCATGATAGATAATCAGTTATATTATATCCACCTTGTTTGCTGACCTGTTACAGCTATCTCCTACTTGTTCCACCTGCCCTTCTCTGGATTCGTCACAAAAAAATACCATGAAAGCTCTGGCCTGTTTCCTGATATAGAAGAGATATACGTCTAAAAAATGTGGGAAAGTGCAAATAGTTTTCTAAGAGAGAAGTTAGGGAAGGGAAAGGTGGAGGAAGGATAACATGAAACAAGGAAAATGTTGAAATATAGAACAATAACTCTAATTATTTGTAGTTTTAAGGTTGTCAAAGAATGCTGACTTTCTTTGATTTTTTTTTTTTTTTGTTTCCTTTGGTGTTTTAAGCAGGCTGTGAGTGAAAATACTGATTTAAAACTGGGAATTTTTGCTGAGCTGGAAACTTATTGCCCACCATACTGCATACTTGCTAGCAGTTCTTCCATGGTAAACTTGAATTTAATTGGTGAAAGGACAAAATCTCAATATCGTATTGTCGGGACTCATTTTTTCAGGTATTTTTGCTTTGTTCTTCTCTTGGTTTTAGTTTCCAACCTAGTATTGATGCGTGCTTTTGATGCAGTCAAGCTCATCTCATGCCACTGCTGGAGATAGTTCGAACAGAACAAACATCTCCACAAGTCATTGTTGACTTACTAGCTATTGCAAAGAAGATGAGGAAAATCCCAGTAGTAGTCTGCAATTACACTGGGTTTGCAATTAACCGGATGTTCTTTCCTTATTCGCAAGCAGCTCTGATGCTTGTTGAACATGGTATTGATCTCTATCAGATTGACCAGGCAGCTACAGCATTTGGAATGACAATGGGGCCATTTAGGTACTTGTAAAAGTGCAAAGAATATTATCTGGGTTCTAGTTTAATTAAGAATAATTTTGTTCCTGAAAGATAGGAGAGTGTTTGGTTTTAAGTTTTTCCAACAATCTGCATGTTATTCTGTGTCTGCATTTAGCATCTTGGCCTAAAATTTGATTTAGTACCTGCCACATTGGCTCTAATATTTATGTTCTTGATGCAGAATGATTGATTCTGTTGGTTTTGAGGTTGTAACTGCACTGAATGTCCAATTGGGCAAGAATTTTGGAGAGAGATACCGTGAATCAAAGCTGATTTCAGTTATGCAAGAGGACAACCGAGCAGGTACTTTGTTGACCCTTTACCTGAAAGTAATTGAAAATCTTTTTGGCATGCTGTTGGGCCTGAAACTGACCCATGAACCGGATATTGAATATCCTCTTATGAAGGCTTAGAATGCTCAAGTATCATTTTTGCATCTCTGTCTCCTTTTTCAGGTGAAACTACACGAAAAGGTTTCTACATGTATGATAGCGGGTCCAAGTTTACCCCCGATCCTGATATTAAGAAGTATATCAACAAGGCCAGTAGCATCTCCAGTGATAGTGTTGATTATGAGGTTACTTACATCCCCCTGTTGTTCATCTACGTGTGAATTTCTTAAGTTCAGCTATATTTCTTTTGTCACGTTCCATGCTTGACCTGATAACAAGTTGGGCATGAAGTAGCTGTTCTAAGATTTCTTTTTTTTTTTTTAATTTCCTCTTAACTAATTATTGACAAGTTGCATATTGCCCCTGTGTCTCTGGATTATTGCACGTCTAACTTGAAATTCCCTCCCTACCCTTTCTACCTCTCTTCATGCACATCTGGTGGCTTTGAATTTGTAAACAGTTGATAAAGTTGTCCGATGAAGAGATAGTTGAAATGATTCTCTTCCCTGTTGTCAATGAGGCATGCTGCCTTCTTGAGGACAGAATTGTTGTCCAGGCATCAGATCTTGATGTTGCTTCTGTTATGGGCATGGGGTTTCCAGAATATAGGTTTGAGCTCCCCTACCTCCCTTTTTCTTTAAGATGGTTGAATATTTAACTTCTAATTTCAATGCAAATGATGCATGTCCCAGGGGAGGAATCATTTTTTGGGCTGATACTCTTGGATCAAAATATATATGTTCAAAATTGGAGAAATGGTCAAAGACTTATGGAGCATTCTTCAATCCCTGTGCCTATTTAGCAGAAAAAGCTTTGAAGAGAACGTCTCTGGTGAGCTGCCATTTGCTTACCTTCTTTTCCTTGATTTTGAATTTGAGCAACTGGAACATCCCGGTGCATCTGCATTGATGCGGTCCTGGTTTTAGTTGATTCTTTGGAGAACCCTCTGCAAGTTGCATTGTGATCATGCATTTATGAGACCAATTCTTTCGTGGCATGGTTGATTCACCTTTTTTCTTAAGGTGAACTAAACATAACCATTTTTAATTCAAGAACACTTATTTGGTGTATATTTATTTCTTTTTCCAACTCATTTTTTCAAGTCCATACCCAAATTTTAATCAACATCTTGGTTAATCCCCCCATTTCAAAATATTCTTGGGACCAAAATGCTCCCTTTTAATTCATGTATAAATTGTGTATTGCATACTGAGTTACTGACTTAAGCACCAAGCAGTATCCCATTTAAATAGTTGTGCAAATGGATAATCTGTTACTCACGTATGCAGGGGAGCGAGGGGCAAGCAAAGTCTCAACTATAGGATTAATGTGGCTATCTGCAACATTAAAGATAATATTCTGTAATATTCTATAATTATGTAGTGATACATAATATTGTAATTAGAATAATATTTAAGATTACATCATAATTATTCTTTCTTAATTAGTGAGAGTCCTTCGTATATAAATAAAAATTTTATGTACTCTTTATACAAGTCATAATGTTAACAGTGTAGCTTTTTGAGCTTTTCTCATTAATGTAAGTCATCATGACTGAACTATTTTTTTTTTTTAATTTTCTTGTTATCTTGATTTTTTTTTTTAATTTTCATTTATACAAACATTATTATTTTAATCTTAACACAACAGACCGGCTTGATTATTATCTTTTCGTCGTATGCAAATAATCATTTCTTCTGTGTTAAATACTGAAATGCACAAGTCGAAGGGAGGAAGAACTTGATGTGTGGAACTGTGGATTTACTAATTTTGCAAAATAGAGTCAGCTTTCTTTCAACTAGTGCAAAACCGTGCACCAAATTGAATAAAAACAATTATTATAGGATGAATAATTATAATTATTTAAAATTATTTATATAAGTTATAATTATATAAATGATTATAATTATTTGAATAAAATTTTATGTTTGTTCATTTATTATAAAAAAATTATTCAGTATAATCATTTTCAGTATTTTTAATTAAAGAGTTTGAGATTTTATTTCATATTAAAAGATAATTGATTTAAAAAAAATACTTTTCAAATCTCAAAGTCAATTTTTTTTCTATTCTCTTATTTATTTTTTCTAATAATTTAAAAGGTAATTATGAATAAATTTTTATATTCCATATTTATGAAGACGTACAATATATATATATATATATATGCATCGGTGAAATCTGAATTTTTTTAAATAATTATAGATAAAAAAAATTTCTTAACTGTAATGTTAAACAAGTTTTTCTTTAATTTTTATTCAAAATCAGTATGCAATTTATTTTATGAATTATTGTTGGAAAGAAAATTGACCAAATGCAGTAGACACTTATATTTGCATATATGGTCAAAACACTACTTCTAATTATTGGGTACAATATCACAATTTTCTACATATTGATTGAAATTGGCTTATCAATTGAGTTTAAAGAATTGAAAACCCAACGTATGTACGTCACGATGGGGAATAGTGTAAACACAAAAAGAAAGAGTTAAAATTGATCCATATTTTTTATGAAAACATGATTGGATGAATTGAAGTATATGCATGAAAATTGCCATTGCTTTTAGATTGGATAATAAGTCGAGCAAATTTCTGCGTGAACTTATAATGTGATTCATTGGGATTGGCTTAGAATAGTCATGAGCCGAAATGGGCTTCATTCATATATATGATAAAAAAATGGATTTAGACATGATAAATTATCTCTTTGTTAAATGTTAATAAGAATTTGGAAAAGAAAATGGGTTTTAAAGGAAATTGAGATCATTGACTAGGAACTTTGTTTACAATAAAAGTTAACAGAAGTAGGCTAAAAATGGAGTGTCCCAATAAATTTATTTTATTATTTGTGGTTAAATAGTATATATGTTAAGTCGATGCTTATTTACTATTTTATTTTTTATGCTTATATTGTTTAGTCATGCCTATATTAACATGCTTTGAGTTAAATTGAATGTTTATATAGTGGAGAATTTTATTAATTAAGCTTTATGCTTATTATTAATAAAATTTGCTAATAACATGTATTTATTATTTGTTCATAAGGCATGATTGAAATTTTAATTCTTGAGTAAGCATGGCTTAGTGTTTACTTTGACAATCATTAAATAAAAGAATTGCGAGAATATGGTTAAATTTATTAAAACCTTGAGATAATGTTTTTGTTGAAAAAAGCTAGAGAAGTAGTAATATATATTGGCTATTTTAATATTTTGCTCGTATGAGATTTATTTAGAGTATGATTATATAATTTATAGTTTGGGGAATAGGTGTATGTGTCATGGGTCGAGACTCAAGCTTCGAATCCGCGCGGCTCCGGGACCCGAGCATTCACCCTTCCGGCGTCCCGAATCAGCCTGACTGCCACGGTTCACACCCTTGTGAGGTATTGTCCGCTCTGGCCCCTCTGGCCTCACGATTTTGTCTTACAAAAGGCGCCTCACAAGGCTGAGATGGTGTGAACCCTTTTATACCCCAGGGACCTTCCTATTATGTTCGATGTGGGATTCAGAACTCCCCCTTAGGTCCGTGACATTCTCCCGCACCCAACCTCGTGACGCCCTCGTCACGGAGGCCGGCCACCCTGCCTACCTCCCTCGAGGTGCTCGGCGTGGATCAAACGGTTTAGGGCTGGCTCTGATACCACTTGTCACGGGTCGAGACTTAAGCTCCGAACCCGCGCGGCTCCGAGACCCGGGCATTCACCCTTCCGGCGTCCCGAATCAGCCTGACTGTCACGGTTCACACCCTTGTGAGGTATTATCCGCTCTGGCCCCTCTGACCTCACGGTTTTGTCTTACAAAAGGCGCCTCACAAGGCGGAGATGGTGTGAACCCTTTTATACCCCAGGGACCTTCCTATTATGTTCGATGTGGGATTCAGGACTCCCCCTTAGGTCCATGACATATGCACTATTAATATAATGATTATAATCATGTACCTATATTTAATCCACCGTGCATGTAGCATTTGTGAGAGAACTCCGAGGGAGATACTATAGAATTATAATAGAAATGCATATAAAAGAGTCATGTTCAATTGTGGTGCCATGAAAATCTTGGCAATGTCAAGAATATAAAGAATATATCCATTTTTATATTTATATGTCTATAAGCTAAAAGGGGATATTGAGCTTTTCAAGTCTTTTATGACAATTTTATTGAATGAACATATATCAATCAATGATGTTAAATTCATTTTATGGTTACATGGGTTATCACATTTCATGGCTTGAACACATGTTTTGTAAATTTTTGCATATGACAATGAATTGAAACATCTATAAGCCTAGAATTGGACATGGAGAACATATAGACGGTTTACCATATATTAAGAAAATGAAAATGGATGATTATTTGCATAGAAACTTAAGTTATCTTATTGTTAGCATATATGACATCTAAATGCATAACATTAAAAATAAAAGGGTGAAATATAAAAATAGTCCTTGAACTCTATACTTTTTGTTAGCTTGGTCCCTAAAGAAATAAATTTGATAATTTGATACTCCAACTTTCATTTCATTATTTATTTACTTATTTCAAACTAACGCTGTTAATCAATTTACTAACATAGAATAAACATATAATAAGATGCTGACAAATGTCAAAAAAGTCCAACTAATTTTACATTATTAATGCCACATCAACATTAAAAGAAAATTTCTAAAATATTTTTTAAAATTTTTAAAAATTATTAAAAAATAAAATATTGAAAAATACAACAAAATTCTTTAAAAAGCCTAACAAATGTTTAAAAAAAATCCTAAAATAATTCTAAAATTTTTTTTAAGAATTCTAAATTTAAAAAAAAATTATAAATTTTTTCAAAAAAAATTAAGGAAACTTAAAAAAATTCAAAAAATCTTAAAAGTTTTAAAAAATCCAAAAACTTGCAAAAATATTTTTAAAAATTAAAAAAAAAATGAAGATTTTAAAAAATAATAAAATTTTCCTAAAATTGAAAAAATATTTAAAAGAAAAAATATATTATTTTTAAAAAATCTATAAAATTTTTTAAAAATTTAAAACATTTTTAAAAACTTAGAAAAATTTTTAATTTTTTATATATTTTTTGAATTTTTCAAAAATGTTTTAATTTTTTTTGGATTTTTATTAAAATTTTATTTGTTTTCAGAATTTTATTTTTTTAGAATGTTTTAGATTTTTGAAATTATTTAATTAATAAAAAATTTTAAAAAAATTTTAAAAAAAATTTAAAATTTTTTAAGAATTTTTTATATTTTTTAAATTTTCAAAAAATTTAATTTTTTTTTATTTTTTAAATTTTCATTTTTTAAGTTTTGTGATTTTTTAAATCTTAAGAAAATTTAATTTTATTAAAAATTTAATTTTTTTATTTTTTTGAATTTTATATTAAATTTTTCAGAATTTTTAAAAATTTAAAACTATCTTAATTTTATAATTTTTAAAAATATGTCATATTTCTTAGTTTATTTACAAATTTTAATAAAATTTAAAAAGTTTTTAGAAATTTTTAAAATTTTCTAAAATTTCTTAAAACTTTTTAGAAATTTTAGAATCGTTTAAAGAATTTTTTAAAATTTTAAAAATTATTTTAGAATTTTTTTTTTATTTTTTGAAAATTTCTTTTTGTGTTGATATGACATTGATAATGTGGCATTGATTGGACTTTTTGACATGTGTCAGTAACTTGTTGAATGTTCATACAACGTCAGCATTTTGGACTAACAGTCTTAGTCTAAGGTACGAATGTGATAATGAAATGAAAGTTGAAATATCAAACTGACAATTTTATTTATTTAGGAACCAAATTGACAGAAAATGTATAGTTTGGGGGTTATTTTTATATTTAACCCAAAATAAAAGTGCACAAATCTTAGGATCCATAAGTTTTTATAATTTCATGGTAAAGATATTGGTGAGAGCTTATATATGCACCATTAATATATGGACTTGATAATAATGTTGGCTTACAATTGCCTTAATCCTTGGAATTGATCACTAAATGAGTTATCCATTAAAAAAAAAAAAGGTGGTATGACTCTTAAATGAGTAGTGCTTTTGTATGTTTGAAAATTATTTATTGTATATAGTACATAAATAGTTTTTTTTAGTAGTCTTTGCACAAAAGTAATATTTATTTAATTTTATTTGATAATAATCATGACTTGTATAAATGATCTGTATTTCATGATTTTATAAAAGTTTTAAGATATAATGAAAGTATAGAATTATATTTTCTTTGAAAACCATGACATATTAAAAGATTTTTTGAATATTAAAAAAAAATTAAATAGCAAGAAGAATGGTATTTGACCCATTTGGGTGTGGGCATAGTTTTGCTCATGGTAATAACATGGTTAATAGTGTCCACGATGAAATAGATTCATAATTTTTCATGAGTTGATATGAAAGTTTCGAAAAGAGACTGTAAAAAGTAGAAGTTTATTAAAAGAAAAAAAAATTTAAGAATGATTATATGTGATGTCATTTCTATTGATGTATATTCTCATATTGAGTTTAAATAAAAGTTTAAAACTTTTATGAGAAGAAAATATTAAGATATAAAATATTTTCTAGTTATATA